GTAATAATTACGGACCCAACTCTACTCTCAGATGTGCATATGCTACTCTTGTTGACTTCAGTAAGAGCTGTTGTCTCCATTTCACAGGCATGGGCCTAGGTTCATTCCCTATTTGCTTTCTGCTTTCTTTTTAAAAATAATTTGTCATTTTCTTCTGTAGTGAATTGTAACTAGGGGTTCCTCCATGTTCTTTAGTGTATTGTTCCCAAGTACAAAACAAACAAACTTTGACAACTACCAACAGTCACGTAACTAATCAGTTAAAACAGGTGTTGTAATACCGCTCTACCTACCTACCCAGCTACATCAGGACTTAGCCGTGAATGACTCTGTGAACTTGTTAACAGAGGGGTCACGTACAGTTATTATGGAATCTGTTCAGGGTAGAGACTATTTCTTTGTAACATTTGTACAACTTGTACACAATGAGGCCTCGTGCAACTTCCAGTGCCCCTGTGATAATGTAAATAAAACCAGCTGTTTTACACAAACATGGGCTGGATTTTTGTCCTAATTTGAAATAATACTACATATTAAAATATCAGTGCTACTAGTATTACCACAGTTAACCATAGTGCTACTGAAACATACCTACCTAGGCTAAATCATTTATAACATGATGCAACTATTTTTCACAAATAGAAAGACCTTTTTCTTTTCTATCATTAGCTCACTTTGTTAAATGGTTGTTGTTCCCATGACTTCCTGAAAATATCCTTCTGAATATATTTTGTTCCTCAAAGCTAATGTTCCCAAAGAATGACTTTGCTTGTTTAGACAATTTATATTAAGTTTAAAACCTCTACCAGAGATATATGAAAGCAATAGGATGAATCTCATTGGCTGATTTCCTTTCCATTCTGATGCCTTCTTTGGCTGTTTGCCCGCAATCATTCAAAATGAAACAAGCTTAATAATATTTTTTTCTACACTTTTCTACTTGTCCCCCTTTCAGAAATATGATCAAGGAACTTCTCATCTTAGAGGGCAGGAGGACTGAGATGCTAGTCTTTATATTGCTGAATAAATCACCAAAATGAAAAACAAAACTATCAGTCAAGAAAAAAAAGGTCTTATCATTTTTAAGTATCACTCCCTATTCTATAATATTAGCTTCATAACTCTCTAACCTTCAGCATTATTACATTACTGAAAGACACCAAGGGACATACCCAGATTTCTAAGACAGAGGGAAGTTTAGATGTCAAATGCATAGCTTTAATATATGAAAAAAAAACCTGTAGAAATCTACTGCTAAGAATAACTGAAAATTGAATTTCTCAGCTTTTGGTTTTTCTCCTGAGCCTTATAGATAAACACCACAATCCTGGTATTTAGTTAAACAATCCACCCTGGGTGCATCTACACATGCAGTTAGCAGAGAGCAATAAGCTCTGGTGCAGTCAGCAGCTCCCAGGCAGTTAGAGCTGGGACAGAGCAGCCCTAGGTTGGCAGCGGGCTTGGAGGGGAAGGGGGCCCTGGGCTCTGGTCTGTGGTGTCACGTGCTGGAGGGGCTAGCTGGGGCATGAGGGTACTTACAGTGAAGAGCTAGCTAACAGGCAGTCCCCTGCACTGTAGCACCTTTGTGCCCCAGCCAGCCCTGTTCACTGTCTATACATACGTTGTGGTAGCATAAATTACTCTACCATAGGATAGTACTTGTCCCAGACAGTATTATCCTATAGCAGAGTTAATGAATTTACTGCGCCCTTATATGAGTTCACATGTAGACAGTAATGCTTTACTGTGGAGCAAATTAGTCAGCTCCAGTAAAGTGAATATGCACTTTCTGCACTCATCAAATCTCATCTCCCTATCTACTCCTTTACCTTCCTAGCCTACATATTGGCCTTGGGCTAGCATGGTTAAAGTGCACAGATTTTCTGTGGCCAATGTCACACAAGGGAGCAAAGTGATTAGCATCCTCTCTGTCTGCCTTTGACCAAGTCCTTATTTACAGCTGAGTTGACTAGGGGCAGCCTTTGGCATGAGTCTAAATAAAGGCTCATGCTTGCCTTCCAGGACCAATAGCAACATGCTTTAGCTGATTTGCCATATAATTTGACTGGAATTTGTTGGGTGACGGACAGTTAATACAGGAGCAGTTTTGAGATCACTAAGCTGTGGTTACAAATTAGAAATTACTTTTCAAAACTGACTGTTCACATAATTTTATAAATGCATATATATGGAGGTCTCCATATTGAAACCTGTCTCTGGCCAGTAGAAGAATCAGAGGAAAATATAAACCCCACTTCCCCACCCCCTGGCAACCATAAGCAGATGTGAAATAACCTACCCTCCTCCCTCCCAGCGCAATGCTTAATCTCATCCTAACCCATTTCTGTTTTCCATAGGACACAGCTAAGCATGTTCAGCAATCAGCTCCATCTATAGAGTGTGGAACATGTGCAACACGTCTTCATTTTGAATTTGTTACTTTTGTATGATATTTCTTGTGATTAAACTAACTCAGGCAAAATAAGACTGCACATCTTACATATGAATGGCTGTTGTTTCACTGGGGGCTTCAACTCTTTTGAAGTAAGGAGACAAGTCAGTAAGTATCCATAACAAAGTTGTCTCATCATTTTGATTGTATTTTAAGAAGTCAGGGAGTTAAGCCCAAATCTAATGTTACTGGCAAGTTTACTTTCATGCAATTTCACCTCTTCAGTACATAGCCTACTTCAATGCCCCCTCCTTCCCCACAAAATATTGCTGCCTGATGAGTTCTAGCTTGTGTGTTGAGAGAGATGATTAATAAAGATACTGATAGGGAAAGTAAGAAACAAAATAGAGAATGTGGCATATGAGGCAGAAGGCATAATGAAACATAATAGAAGAAGACTATGAAAAACGTGTGGGGGAAAATTAAAATGAAGACAAAAACATTTTGTCTGGTTTCAGTGGAAGCTTCACACCCACTGGGAATTTAGGATGTTCCCATTAACTTGTAGAGTGAACCGTTGTACTCGGCCTTAGTGAGGCCGCAGCTGGAGTACTGCATCCAGTTTTGGGCTCCACAATTCAAAAAGGATGTGGAGAAGCTTGAGAGGGTGCAGAGGAGAGCCACGCGCATGATCAGAGGTCAGAAAAACAGGCCTCATGATGAGAGGCAGAGAGCCATGGGACTCTTCAGCCTGGAAAAGCGCAGGCTCAGGAGCAATTTGGTGGCCACCTATACGTTTATCAGGGGTGTTCACCAGAATCTGGGGGAACATCTGTTCACCAGAGCGCCCCAAGGGATGACGAGGTCAAATGGTCACAAACTCCTTCATGATCGTTTCAGGCTGGACACAAGGAAGAACTTCTTTACTGTCCAAGCCCCCAAGGCCTGGAATGGCCTGCCACCAGAAGTGGTTCAAGCACCTACTTTGAACACCTTCAAGAGACATTTGGGTGTTTATCTTGCTGGGATCCTACAACCTCAGCTGACTTCCTGCCCCTGGGGTGGGGGCTGGACTCAAAGATCTTCCGAGGTCTCTTCCAGCCCTAATGTCTATGAAATCTATGACTCCATTCAAATTAAGGGTGAAGTTTAGCTTTTACACACATGTTGAGTATTCCTATTGACTATAGAGAGAGTTGCATTTGTCCTTCCAAGGGCAAGTCTTCATTCTAAAATCAATCTTCTTGCTGTTTCTTACTCCACTCTTCTCTTTTTCACCAATTTCTTTCTAATACATCACTTAATATGTTAATTCCCAGGTGATCTTAAAATGTGACCAGACCCTGGGTGGTTCAGGGAACAATAGAAGTCAAAAGCCCTCTATTCTGCTAGCACTAGCACTGATATACTCTGTGACCTTGGCAAATTACTTTACTTCTCTGTGCATCCATTTCCCTAGCTGTGAAAGAGTAATGATACTTAGCCTTTTTGGTCAAGTGATTTGAATTCTATAGGTGACACATGGTAACTGTGTGCTGAGTTTTACTATTAATTTAAGAGGTATAAGGTTAACCCTGCACTGTTGAATTCATCGAGATTTTTTTTTTCTCAATGAAAACCAGAAAGATTGTTTTTCCATTGAACCAGAAAGATAGCCTCTCTCATTGCAAGGAATGGATTTCTAGATGCACAGCATTAGAGATGAACAGTTTTCGTTCCCTTTTATGTAAGTTTACTGTACTTTTAACATTCAATACAAATTCTGTATAAAAGCTGTTGGCCCAGAGCTCACGCTTTTTTTTTAAAGAGTGTTTTTAATTTTGCACATATTTTCCATTTATATCACTTTTATTTTGTTTACATTTATATATTTCTTTTTTGTTTTTAATTTGGTGATTTATAATTGTAAATGAATGTGCAGGCTGCAGGGAATAAACTTTTTTTGCTTCCTGCTTTACTAATAAACAACAAAGAAATCTAGAGAGAAGTTAAATCAAATGTGGAGGGAAATCTGTAAAACTAGAAGTGTAGACAGAAAAAACCATTATTATTTTTGTTTTTTCTGTCTGAAGCAGATTATAAAAGAGTATCTAGTTGGCAGACAGTGGGGTTCGGTTCATCAGTACTGTAATGCATTGACTTCAAACAACACAGAAAACAGTACTACATGATTTTAGTTACTTTTTAAACTCTGTGCTCATTTTATAGCATTTATGGAGATTCCATGTTTATAAAATAAAAAAGTCTGTTGGTATTTTCTTTTCCCTTTGCTTCCTTCATTAATATTCCCCAGTGCAACGTTAAATGTAGATGTGCAGTCTTAATTGGTTTAGTTACAAGAAGATAATCTTTTTCCCCCCTTCTCACTGTTGCCTGTTAGTTTAAAAGCATTTTAGCTGAAGGTTGATAATTATCGGTGGGAAGAAAATAGCACATCAGGAGTTCATTTTCCATCTTAGCACTTGTGGTTCTCCTTTGAACTCCTCTCACCAAACCCTCTTTCCCATTTTGTCACTTCTCCCCCCTCCATCATAAAAGGTCTCTCTGGACGAGACTTCAGCCTTTGCTCACAAGCTAAGGGAATTACTTCTCATAAGTGCTCTCCAGGATGGACAAAGTGCATGAGACTTTGATGCATATGGAAGATGGCTTGGGCTCTGATGGTTCTGTCTTTCTCTCTTCCTGGGACTGGAAGAACAATTCAGGGACTTTTGAGCTGAACCATGTTTCATCCCCTCACAGCTTATCTCCATCTCCTTCGTTTGAATCCTACTCTTCCTCCCCTTGCCCAGCTGTGATTGAAACGTCTTATAACAGCAGCGGCAGTGGCAGCCTGATCGGATACAGCCTGATGGATTTTCCTTCCACATGCTTACAGAGCGCTGGGCCCGCGAAGGCTCAGAAGAGCACCAAGGCCAGAATGTCAGCCCAACGCAGAAGGAAAGCCAGTGAGAGGGAGAAGCTCAGGATGAGGACCCTGGCGGATGCTTTACACACCCTACGCAATTACCTGCCTCCTGTGTACAGCCAACGAGGCCAGCCTCTCACCAAAATACAGACCCTTAAATACACTATCAAGTATATCAGCGAACTTACAGATCTGCTGAACAGTGTCAAAGGGGCATAAATTCCCTCCTTGATGAACCCACCACTGGAACCTTGAGATCCTTCCTCCAAGGAGTCTTTAAAAATCCATTGGAACTTCGCTGTACTTCTTTCTTTAAAAAAATAGTTCAATGTAGTTTGAGAAATAAGGACAGATCACCAGGGACAGGAAGGGGGAGGGGATGGCTGCTGTATAGACAAAAAAGCGTGAAGTCTAAGGAGTTGTGTGTGCTTGTACAATATAGAGTTCTGGATTGTTATATTTGGTGTTTCTTATAACCAGCTTCAAAGAGATATTAAAATTAGTCTGCTTGGAAGGCAAATTGATCCTGTTAGGATTGCCTAACAGGATCAATATCAATTCTGACCAATCATCTGTTTAATAGTGAATGATTATTTGACCAAAATCAATCTGTGGTTTTAAAATGAATTTTTAAGGATGTAAATAATAATAATAATAATAATGCCAAAATACTAAGTGTGTGGATCTGTAGGCACTTTAATATTAGGGTTAGGAGGAGCATGTATGGTTAGATCAGGTATTGGCTATTTAACCACTTTTCTTCAATAATGTATCTCAGATGAAGAAATATTAAGTAACATTAAGAATGCCTTTGACTGTAAACAAATAAATATTACTGCTTCATAGTCACTATTTTGTATTGTGTGCTTGAGAGAAATGTATATTCTGATCATGAAGGAATAATCCTTAGAGCCCTGTAGAACCGAATATTGAATGCTAATGGTTAAAGCTGTGTAAAGACAACATTGTCTGTTAAATTTTCCTTGCTTTTTTATAATGTCTATAGAAGTATTTTACACATATAAAGCCTCATTGGTAGGACTTTTCATATCAGAGGGATAGAATAAATTAGACTGAATCCTACTTGTCCTCTTTCCCCCACCAACCCTACTGCTTATAAGCTAAAAATTAACTTAATGAATCACTTTCAGGCTATAGAAATATACAGAGGTCATCCTCAAGGTATATTTGAAATCCAGAAAGTTTCTCTAGGGTAACTGTAAGGTCTCCATGTCAAATCAGATGTTTCTGCAGTAAAGAACAGCCCTCCTTTCCTTATAACCAGGAAATGCTTCAGGTCTTAAATGCCTTGGACTTTCAAGTGATGGCTATCACATACCCTTCTTTACATTGTCCAGTGAAAGAAAGAAAAAGAGTTGCTATGTAAATGTACCTCCAAACTGATTTAGCAAGGCCTTGCTGTGCACTCTGAGACCAGTAAAATACAGGGAGGAATGAAAAAAGAGAAGAACTGGTGCACTGCTGCAATGCAGGTCTGAGCTGTGTGACTTGGAAGAAGGTGGGTTAACCCTGTCTTGGCTGAGGGACGTAAGGCACACACAGCACTGTACCATTCTTCTAACCAGAATATCAGGATGTGCAGTCTACTGTGCGCATGGGTGGGATGAATAGATGGGGTATTGGAGTGCCGCAGAATTATTTTTACTGTAATTTTACAGCTCTTTTTTTCCTACCTGTACATCCTAGGAAAGCCGTGCGTTTAGAGGGAATATATTTACCCTGGCACGTCTCTTTTCTAAAGTTTGGGCTTATTTTACCCAAGGGTACTTTCACAAAGTCTGTTCATGAAATGTATTATATGGTGTCCAAAATATGTAGATGACTTGAATCCTGTACAGGTGTACAATACCCATAGAAAACCCACATGTAAAAGGAATTCCATAGGTCTGCTTTATTTCTTTCTTTATTTTAACCCAGAATGGATTTTCAAACCAATTTGAGTGGTGAGTGAAATAAGTGTTATTGTCTCAGCTCTGTCCTGAGAAATAAGTAACTTATGTAGGAACACAGTAAAGGTAAAACAAACAAACAAACACCTGTTATCACATGTGCAGTCATCTATCAAATATTAACTATCTACCTTACCAGCCTTGTGTTTTCTAAATGAATATTTGAATAATTGGTAGTCCATGCCCAGTACACTGCAGGTGCAGAAATCGCTAGTGCCGCATAAATCCAAGAGGCAAATTGTACCCAGTCTGTGCTATAATTTTCAGTCCTTCCTCTTTCTTTAACCTTCCAATATGAAATTTAACAACCATGTTACAGCTTTTCAGACATATAGGTATGGAAGGAATAGAGTCTTGCATTCAAAGTATGGGAATAAGAAACTAATAAGATGGGCTTTCATTTCTGGCTCCGGCGCGCACAGTCTATAACTTCAGCTGGGAAATTTATCTCCATTACTTTAGTTTCATCAGCTATGAATTAAGATACTATCAATGGCTTCACAGTGAACTTTAAGCGGTCTGTTTAAATAGTATAAGACCATAGCTGGACTGCATGGAGAAGAACAAGCTCAGCAGGAACTGGGTAGGAACCAGCAGGTTTAGTTAATGACTCCAGTTGAGTGACTCCCAGGGCTCTGGTAAAACCTGTGAGCTGTGAACAATTTAAGACCTGAGTCACAAAAGAGTAGCAAGGAGGGGGAGGGGCCACTCACTGCCTGTATTAACAGGTTTGGGGTACTTGGGTAGGGTGACCTAGCATTGCAAAACATAAGCTTCAAAGGTATAACTGCATAACAGTACATTTTGGTTCTTTCTTCCAAAGTCTGGATGAATAGATAAAATTAAG